CAATCCCCGGCCCTTACTAGGTTCCTCTTGAACAAGGTATATCTTAATTATTCTTCCTTCCCCTTCTCCTCTCCTGTCTCCCTTCATTGTTCTGGACCCCTTCCCATTTGCAGATCTATGCCCTTGTTTCCTTCTTTTCAGCATTTATTATTCTCTCTCTGTACTTTGCCTTACTCAAATGAGAGATATCATACTGCATATAAGCTTGTATGTCCGATTTATTTCACTCTATGTCTTATTTTCCAGGAGCATCCATTTTCCTCCAGATGTCCTGAATTTATCTTTCCTTATAGCCGAGTAGATTCCATTATGTATAGATAACATATTTCCTTTGTCCAGTTGTCTTTAGTCAGATAACATAGGCTGATTACAGGATTACAGCTATTATGAATTCTGCTGCTATAAACATTGGTATGCATTTATGGTTGTAATATGTTATCTTTAGCTCTTTGGGAAAGATACCTAGAAGGCGAATAACTGGGTCATATGGAATTTCTAATTTTAGTTCTTTAAGAAATCCGATATCCATAATCGTTATACTGGTTTATATTCCCACCAACCAATGAAAGAGGGTTGCTTTTTCACCTCAGCCATGCCAGCATTTGTTATGCTTTGAATTTTTGATGATCGCCATTCTTTCAAGTGTAAGATGAAAGCTTGGCACTCTTAAATTCCATTTCTCTGCTGTTCAGAAATGCTGAACATTTTTTCATATGTTTGTTGACCACTTGTACTTCTGAGAAATGTCTGTTCATTTCACTTCCATATTTTTGGTTAGGTCTTTTATTTTAGGTCGCCTAATTTTTTTTAGTTTTTTTACATATTCTTAATATTAGTCCTCTAAGCTGCAGAAAAATATTCCCATTTTTATAGGTGGTCTCTTCACTCTGTTGTTTCCTTTACTGTGCAGCTTTTTAGTTTGATATAATTGCATTTGTTAATTCTTACTCTTATTTCTTGTTCAACTGGGATTGTGTTTAGAAAGACCTTCCCTACACCCAAGACTTCAAGTGTCTTACCTGTTTTATTTTCTACTACATTCAATATTTTTGTCTTAATGTTTAGATCTTTGATCCATTTTATTTTAGCTGTGTGTATGGTGAAAGGTATGGATCCAGTCGCAGTATTCTGCAAACAGATATCCAGTTTTCCAGCACCATATCTTCATTAGGCTCTCTTTCCTCCGATACATGCTTTTGGCCCTTTTGTCAAAAATCAAATGTGTTTGAGGATGTTTCTGGATCCTCTATTCTATTCCATTCATCCGTGAGTCTGTTTTTGTTCCAGTACCATGCTGTTTTTCTTACTGCTGTTTGGCAATATAACTTGAAGTCAGGTACTGTGTTGTGTCCTGCTTTCCTCTTTTTGCCCAAGATTGCTTTTGGTATTCTGGATCACTCCAGATTCCATATGAATGTTAGGATTGTTGCCTTTAGGTCTGTGAAGTATTCTGTTGTTGTTTTGATTGGGATTGCATTGGATATGTATAGTCATTTTGAGAGTATGGCCATTTTCACTAAATGGGTTCTGCCTATACAGGAGCAGGGGACATTTTTCCACTTTCTGATGTTCTCTTCCATCTCCTTTCTCAGGGTACTGTACTTTTGCTGCCTTTTGTGTTTTTTTGGTACTGTGGATTGAACTCGGGGTCTCATGCATGCTAGGCACATTCACCCACTGATGGGCTGTTTGCAACATTTAGCTATTATAAGTTGTGCTGATATAAACATGGGTGTGCATATATCACTGTGGTGTGATGCATTTAATTCTTTGGGGTAGATACCTAGAAGGGGAATACCTATATCAAATGGAACCTCTAATTTTAGTTTTTTGAGAACTCTCCATACTCATTTCCATACCAGTTGTTCCAATTTACACCCGACAAGCAATGGGAAAGGGTTCCTTTTCCCCTACAGCCTCACCAGCATTTGTTATTGATTTCTTGGTAATAGCCATTTTTTCTGGAGTGAGATGGAATCTCAATGTTTTATGCATTTCTTGAATGACCAGTGATGTTGAACATTTTTTCAAATATTTATTCACTGTTTCTACTTCTTCACTTGAAAAGTGTCTATTCATTTGAGATATCCATTTTGGACTGGGTAAAAAAGGAGGGAGAGTCTGATTTTTTTTTTGAGTTCTTTACATATTCTAGATATTAGTCTTTTGTCTGAGAAATAATTGGAAAAAATTATTCCCATTATGTGGGTTGTCTTTTTACTCTGCTGGTAGTTATTTTTGTTTTGTTGTTTGCTGTGAAAAAGCTTTTTAATATGATGTCATGCAAGTTGTTGATTATAATATTTCCTGTATGATTGTGCTTTTGTTCATAAAGTCTTTGCCCACACCTATGTCTTCAAGCAGTTTCCCTATTCTATCTTCCCACAGATTGTTTGTTTTAACATTTAGATCTTTGATCCATTTTTTAGTTTAGTGCATGGTGAGAGACATGGGTCTAGGTTTAATCTTCAGGATGTAGAAAGGTGATTTTTCCAGTACCATTTTCTAAAGAGTCTACCTTTGTTGTTCTAGTGAAAGTGTTTGGCCCCTTTCTGAAGGTAAGGCAGCTGTGTGTGCTTGGAGTCGTTTCTGCATTTTTTATTCTGTTCCATCACTCCTTGGGTCTTTTTGCCAGTGCCATGCTGTTTTTAACATGGTAGCTTAGTAGTATAATTTCAAGTCAAGGATTGTGAGGCCCCCTGCCTTGCCTTTGTTGCCCAGAGTTGCTTTTGCTATTCTAAGAATCTTCCAGCTCTATATG